AAAACGTTAAACATTTAACAGAAAAAGCGATCGAACTATCTTTTCACTTTGCATTTACCAGACAATTCGTCCATTGATACCGGCCACTTGTTTTCAAGCAAAAACACGATTCTCGAACGAGGCTGCAGCTCGGAGCAAAAAGTCAGAGACTTTTGCGCGTTAACTCATTCGGCGATAGTCCCTCGATACTGCGTGCACGAGATATGATAATAATGAAAAGTTGCGCAACAGAAACCGGGAAGCTTGAGGAAGAAAGGGAAAGAGAAACGGCCGGTGATGAGGGTTCGCGAGTGCATACGAGCTCCCATAGGTAACACTGACACGTTGGAAAAACTAGCGGGAGATTGATGAGTCTGTAAGTGAAAGGGCCGGCCCGTTGAAAAACGAGACACACCGTGAGAATTCCTTTTCCGAGTTTGCCGGCTAAAAAGACAACCGCCACCCGTTTCGTCCCGAGAAAGAAAAAAAAAAAAAAAAAAAAAAAAAACACCACACCGGCGTAATTAAGCGCCGGGATAATTACGAGCCGGTGATTTCGAGTGCGTCGATTCTCGCCACCGTGCAATTCGATCGAACCGAACTTTTTACAATTAATTACACGTAGCATGTGCTTGCGAATTATTTTGGGAGATTGTGTTGGTAGTTTGCTAAGTGTTCCACAGCCTTTCCAGCTTTGAACATTGTAGGACAAAATTTCAATTTCAGAAATATATCCATTTAACATCTTATATTCTATTTTCTAATGATAATTGGTGAAAAATTCCGTAAAACTGGAATGAATATCTACCTAAATCGAATTTAAACAAGCTTACTCAATCTACTTTATCTTCTCAAAGATATCGACAAATTAAAATGAATCCAAAATAAAGTGATCAGATTTTCGAAGACGTCTTACCTATTGAAAACTCTGTTTTGCGACCGTCTTATCGCGTAATTTATATATAGAATATCTAGCAAAAGAATGGAGTGTCATCAGAACCAATATGATAATGCTGTGCGATTGTACGATAAGTACCGGTTATGCGAAAGCAAAGACCGTAAAGATAAAGTGAGAAGAGTTTAAAACCAACTTCTATCTTCGCAAAGGCATTACAAAATATATTTGCTAGCAGCATTATGAATTCAATTAATCGCATCGACAATTACGAAATGTCCTTCATTACTACTCCGTTAGACGTGAGACACAACTACACGCAACGCGCGAAAATTAAATCGCCTCGAATTTCACGGTTGCTCAAGTGCGAAAGTATCAGAATCAGTAAAGTATCAGGAAAAGTAAACAGACGCAACACGTGATATTCAAATGATATTCTTCACCTTTCGGTTCTAAAGGCTTTCAAATACTAATTCTTTAATTTAAAAAAAAAATTACTCGATTTTCACGGTCAATTTACTCCAAATTGTAGATGTATCGTTAAAACGCGAAATGTAGCGTAGAACGTAAAGTATTGCAAAAAATTGGGTTAGTGATTTAACAAACATTCACTACGTATTTTGCTCCGAAATAACCTACGTATATCATTAATCACATTCTGTACTCCAAAAATCGTTCGGTTCCCATTTGCATGACGCATATGATAAAGAAACCGAGTGAAGATTCGAGTCTCGAGAAGGAGTAATAAAACAGCATTACTCACCAAGTGAAGTACGTCTCGCCGTACACAGCAAACAAATCCCACATCCCGAGCCGGTTCAGACAGGTTCGGCGATCGTTTAACGTTACATAATTTTCTAACCTCAAAGCAGGGAGGGAGATCACACGTGAGATCACACGCGAGAAAAAAAGAACGATCGAAACCGATCCGACTGTGGATCGCGGTCGAACTCGAGAACTCGATTACAAGCCCTCGTGGCTAAGGACGACGCGAACGTGACTGCACGCTGCCGGCATCGGGAGTGAAAACGAACGCCAGGATACGCTAAACGCACCGAATAACGCGCGAAAGGCGTTCGAACGAGACTGAAACGACGCGAAAAAGAAATCGCGGCTTGTCAAGATTTAAATGCCTCGCTCGAGGTACACGAGAACTGTCGTTTCATGTATGTGTGTGTGAGTGCGCGCGCGCGCGCGCGTGTAAACGCACAGTCGCCGTCGATTTAAGGGGGATTTAAAGGGCCTGAAAGTTCCACTCGCGTCTCGCTCCGTGTACGGAGCGATATCACCCGCGTTGAACGTTGAAAGTTCTTACGCGGAAACGGCTCCGCACAATTCGCGCACAATCGGCGATCGTCGATCTTGTTGCGTGCACGCGCGTGATACGAGGCGAACGCCTCGGAGACGGGGCGGCGGGACAGCGGTGGATGTTGTCAAAAAAGAACGAAAGCGAAGTTGACAGGCTGGATAGACGGTTGACGTGTGTACTTGGCACTTGGGAAACACAGGCTCGTGACACTTGACGTCACGGCGACAACGCACGGGCACGTTCCACGCGGGTCAACCAGCTGAAAAGCGCATGGGCTGGCGTTTTCCCTCAATGACCAAGGAAATCGAACAACGCGAATCGAAAGGCACAATGTTGCGCCACTGTTTCGCGCTGGAATGCTACACTAGTGTTTCGTTTCCCTCCCCCTCTCACTCTATCTCTCTCTCTCACACACACACACGCACACACACACACTCTCTCTCACTCCCTCTCGTCCATCGTTCTGTCATTTGTTTACTAGCCCGTGCTCGACCACTGTACGTTGGTTCGCGCGTAATTGTCAATGCGCACGTACGTTCTGTCAGGCTGCATCGTCACGCGGAACGGCTGTCAGCTTGCAAGGGTGACACGGTCGACGGGTGCAGACGCTCGATCACCGGCAAAACGTATCTGAATTCGCGTACGAAACAAACCACCGCGCACAGCATCCACATTCCACCATAGGGAATCTGCGACCGCGCAACCGCCGGGATCAAATCACATCCGCCGGCGAAAGTAGTGCCGCGCTTCGCCGAAACCGCGAATCAGATGGCTAAAAGGACGGCTGCGCGCTTCCAAACTAGTAAACACCAAATCTAGCATTCGTTCTTGACGTTTATTTTTATTTTCCTTCTTTTTTTCTCTCTCTCCTTTTGCGCATTTCGCGTCGTGGTCTTCTGTTACTTCGCGTAACGAACCTCAACAAGGTTACATAAAAGGTATGTTAAACATTGATTTTATGATGGTTCTTTTAACATTGACGTGATTCTACGCGAAGCACTGTTAAAGTGAAATTCGCTTTAAAATGTCTTCGTATTCGGAGAACTTGAACGCTGTTTGATCGGTAATACGCGATCGACGAATGTTTTAAATCTAACTCGAGTGTTAGTACATCAAAAAAACCGGCTGTGCTCAGTGAAAGTTGAAATAGAAATGCGAAATTTCACCTGTAAAGAAAATAAAAACTGTCAATGATTTTGTAACGTAAGAAAAAAAATATATACTTCCGAGAGAAAAAAAATAGCCTTGAAAGGAAATTTCCTCTAGATATGTACCTAATCTCAGTGATTATGCTGCTTGAAGTTTGAAATGTACACTCATTGTTCGGTGGAATGAAAGTAAAAGTACTCGTGCGAAAAGGTTACCGCTCTTTCCCACTGGAAAACAATTCACTTTCGTTTAATATTATTCTTTGCATTTACATTCAATAAACGTCCCACTATCAAGCATATCGCGTGATTGTCACGAACAAGTAAAAGTTAGCTAGGAAGTTCGTTTTAACCTACGTAGTGAAACAGTTGCACGCAGTTGCGGAAGTGGCGTCATTCCTATCCCAATATGGCGGACGTTAAGCAGAGTAAACAGAGTGGCAATTACAGCAGGTCGTATGTGGGTAAGTGTTACTATTATTTTCCAAACGGTGTGCGATAGTATACAAAGAAAAGTACGAGGGATACGGACAACGATGTAAAATGTGTTTAGTAATCGTTGAAACGTAGTCTGAAATTCGTGCGCCAGCTGTAACCGCTCTCCGTTGTTCCTTGTGCTTTTTTTCTTTGACGTTTTGTCAATTGTTTAATTACATTTTCCACTTGATGGGATGCGCGTTAGCGTTTCTCGTTGCTTCAGTTTAAGTTTCGACTGAGCAGGAAATCATTACACGTTAGTAAATAGCGTACGATTTGTAGGAAGTGCAACTGTAAATCATTGTTGAAAATTCTGTTTCTAACTTCATGAATTTCATTGTGCACGCGTTGCTGACGAATATATCGCTCCGTAACTGTTGCATTTGGACTGAATACACGGTGCAAAAGTGGAAGTTCGATGTAAGTACAAGGTAACGTTGGTAGTCGTAGAGGTTAAAGTACAATCGTGAATGTGATTCGCTCGTGATGTACGATATTCCAATCCTTTATATCAGCGATATTATGATGTATAAACGACGTAACAACACGCTATACATCTGTAATTATTTATGGTAACATGATATTCTGTCAAAGGAGGATGACGTAGCCTCAAAGCATGGCATGTGTGTGCTGCCGCCTCGCGGAAAAGTTTCCAACTGCTTTCCTTTAGACGAGGGAATTTCAAACTACGTCTGTTACTGGCACGTTTGTCCTTGCTTGTTATTACTCAGCAAAATTATCAGCCATTTAACTTGTTACTGCATTGTAGAGCACTATTTGTCGCCGCGTCAATAACTAGGTATTTTCTTCGTGAAAGGAATAATGAGTGTGAAGTAAACTCATTCTAAATGGTCGTCTTATTTTTATATATACATTACGTAATATATTTTTTGCGACTTTCAATTATTTATCATGTATAATATTACAAATCTTGGCTTAAAAGTCACAAATGTATATTAGAGTTTACGTAACTGTTGTCGAGCAAATATTATTTATTGCTGTTTT